CCGGCATGGGCTGCCCACCGACAGCAGCTCTGGGCCCCAGTGCCCTCCCAGTCTGTCCCAATGCTGCCTTGGCGGGGGGCAACTGAGCTGGCAGACCCCCACCGGGGCATGGCGCGGGACCAGGCCCCCCTCGCATGAGTTTGGGGAGCGGGGCCGGGTCCTGGTAGCCCCGTGAGACAGCGGCGAGGCAGTGGGGAGCCCCACCGGCCGTGGGGTGATGCTGGGCCTTATCTGAGCCCAGTGACCGGCTATTTCAATTAAAATTCCTGGCTGGCCTCAGGGGCTGGTGTTTGCTGATAGCCCTGACAGAGCAGAGCTAGTTTTTGTCTGGGTTGGGTCAGTATCTCTCGCACCACCAAAATAGCCAAACCGGACTGTTAGGGGAGGCTGAATAAATAAACTACCCAAATGCAGGCAAGGAAATGAGGGGCTGGACCGGGAGGGAAAATAAAGACAGTGGCTTGGGGAGAAAAGCGCTCACAGCCCCACAGGTCGGTCCTCATTTCTGCGTAATGCACGGGTTCATTCCCGGCCCCTGTAGTCCGTGTTTTTAGCTCTGTGCACATTCATGCCCTGCGCACGGTGCCTTATTTTCCAGTGTAAAGTAGGAATTGTGACCAAACACATCGTGAGAAGCACTGAGCTCACCTTCCCCGGGAAGGTTTCGCAGCGTGTGGCGATGCCTTTGCAGGCCCACGGCACAGCCCTCCTTCAGCATTTGCTAAATCCCTTTGGCAGGGGTAAAGCTCAGGCCTGCTCAAGCAGTTTCTTTTGGGCTGCCCTCCTAAAGAGCACTCACTCTCCTCTGAGCTGATTTCAAGTCGTGCTGTCCCTTGCTATGGGCCTGATCTTGCTCTCTTTACACTTGGTAGGAGCGTGCATTTTTCAGTGCGACTTTTGCACACTGAAAGGATACCTGGAGGTACTTTTTTTTGCCTTTTTTTGGGCTATTGCACTTGTTGCCCAGACCCCAAAATTTCTAATGCTGTGCAGGAACGACACTGCAGCTCACTTAAACCAGCCCAGGCTGCTCGGGCTGGAGCCTCCTGCCCGTGCCGGCCACCGCAGCGGCTGTGTGCTCCCTGCAGCCCTTCGCTGCGATCCCCACAGACAAGGTTAGCTCCTGCAAACCCACCCTACGAGTCCAGGGCTGTGCCCCATTCGCAAAGCCCCTTCCCAGTCCCCGGCTGGATTCATTGCCACATCGAAATGGCTTGTTTGGGACTCGAAACACCAAAAGGCGAGAGCAAACAGACAGTAACATTACACCTTGGCTTGCTGATGGCAGGAGGCAGCCGGCGCCAAGGTAAAATGCTTGGCTGGGATCGAGACGAGCAGGAAGGAATTGGGGTAAGTAGCTTTATCCGCCCCTAATGACTTGGTGTGGCCAAGATTAATGGAGAGGCTGGAGTTTGGCTCTCAGGACCTGCGGAGAGATGAGGCACTGGGTGGGTTGAGTTGGGGGAGAGTGAAGGAAAACGGAGCTTAACACAGGGCAGCTGGCAGCAGGGCAGGATTAGTGCCCTGCGATGGCCGTGGGGCTGCGCTGGCTGCTCCCCATCTCGCTCCGTGCATCCCCACGGGCTGCATCCAGCCCTCCCTCGCTCGCAGAGCAGCGACAGCCTCTGACGCATCCAGAGGTTTGGATGAGACTTGTAAATCATCTCCGCATGCGCTCCCCTGCCAAAACCCGCTGCTGAGCCTGCCCAGCCCCGGCCCCGCTCCCTGCCCCGTGCCCGGGAGCTTTCCCGGTGCCATGGACATCGGCACTGGCAAGGGCTCGGGCCCTTCTTGCGGTGCTGGGGATGGACCGCGGCTCTTGGCCGCCACGTTTTGGCAGCGAGAGGCCACTGGGGGATTTCTGGGAAGAAGACTAAGAGGATCTATCACAAACGATCATAAATCATCAGCTTCTTTTTGACTGGCACGTTAATTTTATTACAACGCTCCAGGGACATTACTCCTCTTTTTAACTAGGTTAGATGAAATCAGGAGAAAGCTGCTTCTAGCCACCGTCGGCGTTTAAACGGGAGGATTTCTATGGCAGCAGCACAACCGCAGCTCCCAAAGTATCTAATTTCTGGCAGCTATCGCTGGGACGCATCAGGATCCCGATGCGATGTCGGAGGAGCATCCGAGGCCCTGGAAACCCAACTCTGCCTGCCCGGAGCGGGATGGGGCAGCCAGCCCTCCCAAGGCACTCTTGCCCTGCCAGAAGGTTTTGTTTTTAAAGTGCTCAGAGCGAGGGAATAATGGGAATATTGACTAATGGGAATAAAGGGAATAATGAGTGAGGTGGATGCACGGGGGGGGTGGGGGAGTGTTGCAAGCACAGAGCACGTGTGTAGACATCTCTAAAGGGTTTGAGAATGCTTTGATACAGCTGAAACTAAACTTAAAAGGGTTTTCTATATCCTCTTCTTTTTCCCAGCTACTTTCTGTCCTTTTTCATCAGTGAAATAAAACAAAAAGCAGAGAAAAAGGAAATGATGGCAGAGAGCGAGCTGCGGGCGGGTGAGGGAAAGCAGATTCCCTTTCCAAGGCTTTCTAATAAACATCGGGGAAAAAAAAAGCAGAAAAATGTGCTTCTTTTCAGAATCTGTGGGATAAAAATAACTTTGAAACTTTAGCAAGTTTTCACGGAAAACCCGCTTTCTGCCTGGCTCCGGGACGAAGGCCACGTCCCTGCCGCGCTGGCAGAGGCGGGCAGCGGGTGAGGGCAGCGCGTGGGCAGGGTGTGGGCAGGGTGGGAGGACATCTTGACGTGACAAAGTGCAGGCAGTACAGGCGCAAGGCTGAAATGCCAAAATTGGGGAGGGCTGTCATCGCCTGCCCTCTATTTATCTCTTTTTTTTCCCCATTTTAGCCAGGTCTTACCCTTTTGAGACAAGCCAGCGCTTCCCTGTTGCTCTGCTCCGCCCCTGGCTGCTCTGTTGAGCTGGGTTTTATCACCATTTATCTATTATTTCTGGATTTTTAGGGGACCTGTTGAAATGATAGACTCATAGAGTAGTTTGGGTTGGAAGGGACCTCTAAAGGTCATCTAGTTCAACCCCCCTGCCCTGAGCAGGGACATCTTCAACTAGGATCGGGTTCTCAGAGCCCTGTCCAACATGACCAGGGTTTCCAGGGATGGGGCATCCACCACCTCTCTGGGCAACCTGTGCCAGTGTTTCGCCACCCTCAGTGTAAAACATTTCTTCTTTATATCTAGTCTGAATCTCCCCCCCTTTAGTTTAAAGCCATTCCCCCTTGTCCTGTTGCAACAGGCCCTGCTAAAAAGTCTGTCCCCATCTTTCTTATAAGCCCCCTTTAAGTATTGCAAGGCCACAATAAGGTCTCCCCGAAGCCTTCT